ATCATGCACAATAAGAAAATATAGAAAACAAAAAGTGGACAAAGAGCCAGGCACTGTGGTGCATGCCTGCTACTTGGGAGGCTGAGGCAGGAGCATTCCTTGAGATAAGGAGTTTAAGGCCAACCTGGTCAACATAGCAGACCCACCTCCAAAAATCAAACAAAATAAAAGAACAATACACTGTGGCAAAACACACAGGAAGAATACTAATCATTTTTAACACCACCACCAACAACAAAATGGTCATTAGAGCTGAGGATGGAGCTCTTGTGTAGAGGAAATGCCTACTAGACATAAGATCCTTAAATTAATCCCCAGTATTTTTATTATAAAAAAAGATACCCTCAAACCAGGTAATTGTGTCATTTGTGGTCATATGGATAAACCTAGAGGAGACAATGAGAGAATAAAACAGACACACAAATGATCCCACTTATAAGTGGAGATTGGGGCAGGCAGGAGGGGTGCTGGTTAGCACAGGTATAGAGTAGATAGAAGAGGGGAGACACTGATCAAAGCACACAAAGTTTCAATTAGATAGGAGGAATAATCTCTGTGCCATACTATAGCACATCAAGATGACCACAGTAAATATTAATATAGTGTATGTTGCAAAATAGCTAACACTGGATTTTAAATGATCTGATCACAAGTAAATGGAAAATATTTGAGGTGAGGTATGAGGTTTGTGCTAATTACTCATTTGATCATTATAAAATGTATACATGTATGAAAACACTGTACTGCATAATTTAAATTTATTTCACTATGTGTTAACCAAAAGAAAATAAAACTTGAGCTCATGTAGTTGTCCCCTCCTGCACTCCCACTTTGACAGAGGGGAACCCCTAGCAGAGGCTGCTTAGGCAGCTTTGGTAGGCTGTAACTTGGACTCTCCCTGGGAGGAGCTGACGCTGGCCTTTTCCCACATCACCATGCTCCCCTTTTTGACATCACCCACTATCTGGTGTCTGTGATGGCACTGAAGCATCAGCTGCTAGGAGTGGAAGGGACATGGAAGAATCCTGTTTCAAGCTGGTTTACTGCTATGCTCCACTGCTTTGGTGGAGGATTTTTATCATGTGTACTGTTTACAGAGCTTCCACTTATTGCAAACCACACTAATATTTTATTGGTATATTATAATTTTTTGCCCATGGGACCTAATTTCCTAGGGCTATTCATTATTAACCTGCTCAACTTCTGGCTGTGGGGATGAAGGAGTGACCAGAACGTGGAATATAGTAGGTGTAGTCACACATGCTAATAGTTATTTAAAAAAATGGCTGGCCAGTCATGATAGCTATTGGATGGGCCCAAGGTACAGGTGGTATCCTTTTCACAAATTTCGAACAGTTGGTAAAGGGAGATTGGAAACCAGAGATGAGGAATGGCTGAAGAAAGTTGTCTTATCTTTCCAAGGTAACCCTTCTGGGGTCCCTTATCTTCTTCACATTTCAGTACACCATGTATCTAACCATATCAAAGCATAATTTTATGTTCCTTTATACCATCTTTCTTGTGGCCACAAAGATAACCATGATGGTTACAGAGACTTCTGTGACTCTTGCTCCTTTTGAGCATATATTGAGTCAGCTGCTCTTTGGCTGGCAGCAACAGTTTTCATTGTAGGGTAAGAAATGTGGAGCAAAATCATCTTCCAATGGTACTGGTTCATCAGTCCCCAAACCTATGACCAATGGTTCAGATAATGTTAAAAGGAAACATACTAAGAACACTGAGTAAATTTGCTTGGGCTCTAGAAGGCAAAAAATAAAAAACCTTTTCTACCTATCAGATTGTGATAAATATTTCTATGTAGATGACTTGCAATAAAACTATATATAAGGAATGGAGGTAACAAAAGAAATTCTTTCTGCTTTAGTATAATTATTGCTTTCTTGATCATAATCTTTGAGTATCATTTGTGCATCATGGGATTTTTTTTCTGATACAAAGTATCTCTTGTGATTATTTGACTGGTTTTACATTGATAAAAAAATTATAAAAATTTAAAACTTTTAAAAATTGGGTATTTTCATATGCTTAAAAAATCTGAATCTATTTGAGATTTAGTTCAGCAGAATTAAACTTGTATTTAACATTACCATAATAATTCCTAGATATTGAAAATTAGCTAGTTAAAAAATTGAAATTTCTATTTATTTTTGAGCACTGAGGACAGTAAACATTTCCTAAAAAGTTATATTATAGATGAATATAAACTACTAGTTTATATTTGCTATATAAACATTGTAATTTTGCCCACATTAAATGGAAAGTACCTTGGCTGGGGATATGGCTCAAGTGGTAGCACACTCATCTGGCATGCGTGAGGCACTGGGTTTGCTCCTCAGCACCACATAAAAAATAAAATAAAGATATCGTTTCTGCCTAAAGCTAAATAAATAAATAAATAAATGGAAAGTATCTGAAATTTAACTTAATTTTATCTCTAATAGTATTTTTCAGTAAAAACACAATATTGTTAGAATGAGTTTCAGTTTGAAGTCTGTTTCATTCCCTTCAAAAATTGTTTTTATTTTTCCCTCAAAAGAAAATCAGGGGTGGGTGCAATTTTTGATAAATTACTAATTCCATGTTTAGTACTTTTTGAAAGTTTGTAGTTTTCCAGAATTACAATTTGCGTGTTCTCTAATCCCTTCTCTCTCCTTAAAACACATTTATTTCACCTGTAGAGAAAATTTTCACATTTCACATGTTCTTTCTGACCTTAGTTGTTCTGAATACATTGGTAGCAGTTGTCTTAGTGATTTTTTTTAAAAAAATGTATTATTTCTGTTAGGTCTGTGGTGGCCACTTGGTGGCGACTTAGAACAAAGCAGCCCACGCAGGAAAGGAACATCAATCAGGTGCCAGTGGAAATGCCTGTCAATCAGCGAGATCTCCTGACTTACACCTGTCAATCAGCAGGACCCCCTGGCCAATCCTGGAGTTCAGCCAACTCCTCTGACCAACCGGACAAGGGACCCTAAAAACACCTTTTTCTGTCCCAAGCCCTTCCCTTCCTGCTGAGCCCCATAAAAGTCCAGTCCTGTGGAGCTCCCATGTGGTTTTTTTCCTCAGACCCTTCTCCTGTCCACTCTGTGGGTCTGATCGAGTTCCGCCAGGGAGTGACATCTCAATAAAGCCTCGTTTGGCACCCCTTTTTAAATCTGCCTCCTTTGGTTGCTACTTGCCTTGCCTGATCTGACAATTTCCATTTATTTTTTTTTTCTTCCATGTCTCCTTTCTAGTGGCTTTCTCAGTTTTTTTTTTGTTCAAATGTCCCATGTTAGATTACAAATGGTTATGTTTAGTTTTAATCTACATGTATATGTATTATTAATTTTATTTTAAGCAAAAACTGATTAGCTTCATGTGAAAATGCTCAGCTCTGATGAGAACTATCTGTGTACAACTGATAGTAATCAGCTAAGAAACAGATTAACAGAAATCTCATGGTCCTCTTATTTGATTGAAGAATGATAACATTAAATCTAATTTCTTATTGGCAAATAAAAAACAAACCAGAAAAGGTACTAAATGATGCTGGAGTTTCTTTATCTTGTGGTTCAAAAGTACACGTCTAACATTCAAACTCTGTGACATGATTTCAGATGCCAAGACTATGAGCCTACTCCCTGTATCAAGTACAACTTTTAGATGGCTTAAGTACTCAAATCATATTCAAGTTGAAAGTTCTCTGCTTTTAACTTTTAACAACTGTAAACACCAGCAGGTACTATACTTGCTTAAGAGAAATGATTTTTTTGTCTGTGTATAGAAGGAGCAATTTGATACTCTTGGAATGATAAGAAGTTTATTTTAATATTGTAATAGCATTGAATTGAATTCTGTATTATATTTGATATCCTTATAGTTAAAAACTTAAAAATTAACTTGTTATTAACTATTGGTTAGTTTTAAAATTTAGATTTAACTGTAGTTAAAATGGTAGGGATCTTTTTTTACACTTGTATTAAAAGACAAATTCATTAAAATAAGTTGTTCAACACCAAATGAGGAGGAGGAGGAGGAGGAGGAAACTTGAGAAAAACAGTCTAACTAAAAACTTTTTTGCTTGTTTTAAAAAGCAAAGGTTGGGTCTGCGAAGGAGGGCAACTGGTTTTTACAGCAGCATTGCTCCTTGTGGACAATGAATGACACACAGGGAAGGAGGAAGGGCCTGCCTGCTGAGGGAGAGAAGTCATGCTCAGATACATCTTAGAAAATGAATCAGAGAACTACTGACTGGAAGGGAGAGCAGGGAGGAGGAGGGCAACCAGACTGGGTGAGGGGTGTGAGACAGGCAGCTGAGGAGGCAAGGAGAGATGTGGGAACAATGGAGTTCCTATTAGGGTAAAGCAGGGTGCAGGAGGGAGAAAACCCCGCCCCCCAGGGTGCAGGAAAGCAGGGCACCTTGAGGGTGGAGATGAGAGAAGTCACAGGAAGAATCTCTTGGCCCAGAAGTCCTCAGCTTCTAAGCTCCCTCAGTCTGACTAGAGAAACCACAGTGCCCATAGCAACAGAAAGGAGAGAGGAAGATCCCTAACTCCAGATACTGAGCGCTCCGTGGGAGCACGCTGCTGACTCCAGGAAGAGGACAGGGCTTGGGGGTGGGGGGCTGGAAACTGTCTCAAAATCTATCAATTTTGATAAAGTGCTCCCATGAAAGGCAGACCTCTAAGGGAGTTGAATCTCTCTCAAAGATCAAAGCAGGAGACAGAGCTAGGACTCAGGGGCGTCAGAAGAACCAGGCTGTTGGAAAGGAAGAGCAAGGCTGTGAGGGGAGGGAGGGGAGCAAGGTGCATCACGGATGCAGATGCGGGAGGAGGTGGTGGGGTATGCCCTGAAAAGAGGAGTTGAGATTTGTGGCAGATTTGCTGCGTCTGGGCCCGCACTTCTCCCCGCAATTCCAGAGCCCGCCAAGCCTGGTAGAGGCTCCTTGGATTCGCATGGCATCTCCCGCTTTGAAGAACCACCATGAACCCACTCACCAACGGCGGAACCCAGAGGTGCACAAAGCGCAGTGCCGACCAGGAGCAGCAGAGCGCCCAGTCTCATAGGGTCTGCCATTCTCCTAGGTGATCAGCAGAGAGAGGCTGCCTGACAGTTGCCCAGAAGGGAGCCACACTGGTGGCATGCACAGGGCAGGTGTCTCAATAAACACTCATGCTACAAGGATTGATGCCTGACAAGACCAATCAGGAGCAGAGAGGGAGGAGCTATGCTTAAAGGAGAATTTCCCTTCAGGATGAAGGCTGAACTAGAGGGAGGAGCTACGCTTAAAGGAGAACTTCCCTTCAAGCACAGGATGAAGGTTAAACTACTCCAAAGACATGGGGAAATATCCACTATGTCACACTTGCCTTAACCTCCAGAAAAGGGCCTCTGATTTAGGATTCCCCAGGTAAGATAGATAAGGGCAGCTAGGTGAATGCTGTAGGGTCAGATTCTGAGCAACTGCCATGACTCAACCTTAGAAACACTGCCACATCTCTGGGAACCTAGTGGAATTTAGCCCCCAGAAAAGCATGGGTCTCCCCAAGCTCTTGTTGGACAATAAGGTGAGACACCATAACACACTCTCTCACTTTCTATCTCTCTTTTTGTTGTTATGGGGGATTGAACCCAAGTGCTTAACCACTGAGCCAAATTTCCAGTCCTTTTTAAATTGTTTTTTTTTTTGGGGGGGGGAGGTACCTGGGATTGAACTCAAGGGGCAGTAAACCACTGAGCCACATCCCCAGTCTTATTTTCTATTTTATTTGGAGACACGGTCTCACTGAGTTGCATAGTGCCTCACTGTTGCTGAGGCTGGCTTTGAACTCATGATCTTCCTGACCCAGTCTCCTGAGCTGCTGCAATTAGAGGTGTGTGCCACCATGCTTTTTTGTTTAATATTTTTATTTGGAACATGGTCTTACTACATTGCTTAGGGCCTTGCTAAATTGCTGAGGCTGGCTTCCAACCTGCAGTCCTCCTGCCTCAGCTTTGTAAGCTGCTGGGGTTGTTTACGTGTTTGCCACCAGACCCAGTCCACCATCTCTTTACCTCCAGAGATGTCTGGGTCTATCTCTTAAAAACATGGGTTTCTTTTATTTTCTTTTTGCAGAACCAAAATACAAATTTCAAAGAGGTATCATCCTTCTTAGACCAACTCTACTAATCCATAGTTTACATACAATAAAATGCATATTTAGAAATGTACAGCTCGTTGCGTTTGGGTATTCACACATGCTTGTGTCACCACCAGTGAGTGAAGATGAAGAACATTCCCATCATCCCCCAAAGTAAATCTATGCAATAGAATTCTAGGTGGCCATTAAAATGAGAAAAATATATGTAAATGTATTGCTGTGAAAAGAGCTGCCCAACATACTTTAGGATTTTTTAAAAGGTTAGGAAAATACTGGATTAAATGCTGCCACTTACATAGTATGTATTTATAATAGAGGGAAAAACTAGATGATTGCCTTGAACAGTCTGACAGTGGTTTCTCCAGGGACTGGGAAAACAGTGCCTTTCATGTTCTGTGAGTTGCTAGAATTGTATTGAAATGAAAATAAACATTGAGTCTTGATTTAGAATCTGATTGTATCCAAATATAATAAATAAATAAAATACAATAAATGGGGACTGGGGATGTGGCTCAGTGATTTAGTATAAACTGGGATTTGTACAAGGTGTCAGGGAGAATATTTTTGGTTTAAAATACAATAAATTAAGTGCCAGACTCAAGAGAATACTGTTTTTAAAAAGCAAAATATTAATTATAATCCAACACCAGGAGCTCTGTCTTAGAATAACTATTCATATTTTCATAGCATTGGATCTTCCCTCAACTGCTTTTGAAAATGAGACTTTTATTTATTTACTTTTTTTCAGTTTTATTCTTTTGAGTTTTACATGACAGTGGAATATATTTTGACATATTATACAAACATAGCATGTAACTTTTCATATTCTTGTGATTATACATGTTGTAGAGTTATACTGGTCATATATTCATATATGAACCCAGGAAATTAATGTCTGATTCATTCTGATTGATACTTTTATTTTTAAAATTTCATTTCTGTGGCGTTGGGGATGAAACCCTGTGCCTCAGGCTGCTAGGCAAGTGCTTTACCCCTGAGCTACACTCCAGACCCCAAAAGGATATGCTTTTAGTAGACAGACATGTAATAAATATGACCAAAAATGCAAAACAGAGTGTGAAGGTCCACATCGCAACAACAGAGGGTGGGGGGGAAGAAAAACTGAGTGGAGGCACAAGGGACTCTGTTACATTTTACTCAAAACGTGTTCGAAGCCTGCATTGCCATATTGTCCACAGGTCATGAGGAAAGGCCCAGCATATCTCCTTCTTTGGGCCTCAGTTTTCCCTTGACAATTGTCAGAGGAGCAAGTGTAAATAATGAGATTGAATTTGTGATATAAGGAGTTTGAAGACTATTTGGGCAATGCCAGGATCCTAGAGAGAACCCAGCCAACGTGGGCGATGCCTTCGGGCTTCACACAGTGGCAGTCACCAGGGAGGACAGCTGTCTTGGAATTGCCTCCCAGGTCTGAAATGGAGAGTGGATTCCACATATGGAACCTCCTGTGCTTAGCTCTAGGGGGATTGCAGTTGCAGTGGAGGGAGGAAGCTCAGGCAACAACTGGCAGAGGAAGGATTAGGGGGTGAGGGCTAAAGCCTATGGACCCCTCCATCTTTTGCCTGTGGTTGACCTTCTAGGGGAGCAAATAGTCCTGGGAGGGGTGGTGAGTGCAGACAGGGCTTACCTGGAGATGTCTCTTGGCGTCCCCCACCATACCTTGCTCCCTTAACCTAGGGATTACAGATTAGTGCACACTGGGAGCAGACTATGTGAAGCTGACAAATGCTGATACACCCTCAACTGAGGCATTCTCAAAACATAGACTTTTTTCTTTCTTTTCTTTTTCTTCTTTTTTGTCTTTCTTTTTTTTATACTAACACTTAAACCCAGTCGTGCTGTACCACAGAGCTACACTGTCTTTTAAATTTCAATTTTGAGACAGTGTCTGACTAAGTTGCCCAGGTTGGCCTTGAACTTGCCATCCTCCTGCCTCAGCCTGCAGAGTAGCTGGGTTTACAGCTGTACACCACCATTCAGGCTCACACAGTGTACACTTGAAACTTCATTTTTGTTCAGCATTATATTGTGAACATTTCCCATGTTGTTAGGAAGTATTAAATAATCTCCAAATTACATGGGAAAGATCAAAGTTTCCAAACTCCAAAAGAATAGTACAATGGTGACTATAGACCTAATTAGTTCAGTATTTTGTCACGTTTGTTTTAAGATGTAAGAAATTATAGTTGTATAATTCTTGCTGAAACACTAGAAAAATCAATCATTGTGACATTCATTCCTAAGTAAATCTGTGCTCATCTCTTAGGAAATGACACTTTTCTTTCAATAATAATATGGTTATGACACTAAAGAAAATTACTATGAACTCCTAATATTATCCAATGTCAAGGAGTATAAAATTTGCCTAATTACCTCCCACATGCCTTGCATTTGGAAGCATGATCAGGGGCCCTTGACCCTATCTGAGGATCCCATTTAAAGTTGCAACCCTGATTCCCTTGAGAGCAAGACAAGAGAAAAGTAGAAACATTCTCTCTACTCCTTATTTTTCAGTTTTTGGAAATAGATTTTTGGAAACACCCTGTTCACTAAAGTTTTTAAA